TCCAACCCTTGCTGGGTCCTCATAGATGGTTTCCCTCGGCCGCTTCTAGCTAGGGCAAGGACTGCGGTGTCTGATTCTGTCAAGTCCAAATATTTACTCGCGACAGCTACTTCCTTCACGGTGAAGGCGCACAATACGAACATATCCTTCAGCATCGACTTCGAGGATCAGATTCACGCTCGCGACTTCGTCGACACCGTAAAGAAGCGCTCAGCTTCTGGATCGGTCCCAAACCTTTCGATTCAGTACCGGTGCGAACTCGACGGGACGCACCATCGGGACTACGGCGTCGTAAGAAGGTGCTCTGACTGATTGTTCTGGGCCGTCCATGAAGCTGGGTAGTCAGAATTCAAAGGCATGCTTCTCTCAGCCCAGAACGACGGTCTGGTCACGAGCATGGCTTCATCCTCTGCCTCGACTTCGGCGGGGCTTTCCGTTCCTTCGCTCTGCCTGATGACACTCGCGAGCGTGACTGGGGATCTGTGCGTTTCTGGCTCAGATGGCGGCGTCTCCCCTTCGTCGCCCTCTTCTGGATCTCCCGGAAGCTCGTCCTCTGGCAGCAGTAGCACCATGTTCGATCTCCTCCTCTGCGGGCTCGGGCGAGTCTCTCCAGCTCGCCACCCCTCTCGTGCTCTCGCCGCCCTCTTCTGCCAGCTCGAGCGTCTTCCGCTGCATCCTGGAGCGCGCGGCCCATCTTTGGCGCCGCCTTCGCTCCCCGAGCCTCGCGCCTCCTCCTCCTCCTCCTCCTCCTCCTCCTCCTCCTCCTCAGACATGGCACCGCTCGCGCGCGCAGGTGGATTCGGGGGCCGGAGGCCCACCTGGGGCACATCTCCCCCCAGAAGAGTGCACCGTGCTTTGGGCGCCGGCACTTTCTCGGATGCCCCCTCGCCCGGTGGATGCATGGCCTTCGTTCGCCCTCGCATCCAGGGCCTCTCCGCGCGCGCTACACGCGGCGTCTACGAGCGCGGGGGGATCCAGAGTCTTTCTCTACATCGTGATGAGGAGTGCGAGATCGTTAACGTGCACCTCGAACCATCGCATCGGCCTGTTGCCAAACTGCGACAACTTCGTCGGATTCGGAGGCCCTATGAGGCCCTTTGTTTCGCCCCGCCACGCCGCGCTATTTCTGCTCGGCGACTATCTTGCACGCTCGCGGCGAGGGTGGCCACCATCGCGATGGCCAAGTCGTTTCAAATGGCCAGATTACTGCCGAATGGCTGGACCGCTCTCGGGCTTCATGCCCACGTGCAAAACATGGATGCGGTTCTCATGGGGTGTTTCCCGAGAACAAGCTTCGAGCCAGCACTCAACGATGGGAGATTTGCTCGCGGACTGATCGTGACCACGCATCCTCACTACCTCGGCGCAATACTCGGCCTGGACTGTCAAGCGGAGAGCTGGAAGCTGCCTATGCGCAAGTTACGTCCAGAGAGTCCACGCCGCTCAAGGACTGGACCCAGGGCGAATCAAATCTACCAGTCATTATAATATGCCCTGCGTCTCAGTTTTCGGATTCGCGCGCCAGCTTATTCCTCCCACTCTTGAGCTCCCGAGGAAAGAACGCGACATGATGCAGGTCCTTATAAGGAGCCCTGGGAACGCGATCCCGTCTGGAACCATCCAGAAATACAGGACCCTCGGTTTTCCCCGTCCAGGCCGCCCAGATCAGGATCCGCTGTCAGGCCGCCCGATTTCGAGTTGCTGAGAAAACCTCGGCATGCCGCTCTGCTGCTGAACGGCCCCTTGAATTCGAAGGAGACGACGAGTGCTGCACTGCGTGTCGGAACCGCCCGGCTTGGAAAGCTAGCGTTGCCAAGAGTGCGGGGGTGCTCCCAGGATCCAGACTACGCTTGGAAAAATTATCCTGCGGGCTTCTGAGGTTCACTCTGGTAACATGCTGACTGCGCGCGCTAGTAAACTGCGCCCCAAGTTTTCCAGGACACGCTGCCCGAAGATGCGATGCTCCGTTTTTTGAAGTTGGCCGAACAGGTCCCCTCGTGTTTGCCTTTGGTGATCTTGACAACGGCTCGAAATGGTTGGACACGCAGCGGGCGCTTGTGCGGGCCCGACCAAAAGCACGTCGTGGCTGCGGGTTCCCGGGAGGCGACGCTCTGAAGCAGCGGCACGTGTGAGGTTGCCTGGGGTCCTCCTTCGCTGGCCTCTTGCCCCCTTCTTGCCAAGCGCCCTCGCTCCGAGCAGCAGTGCCGGCCGGATTCTCGCGCGCCGTTTGCAAATCGTATCCCCGCCGTCGCGCTGGCGAGCCTCGCTGTGCATCTGAACATCGCGTATACAAGGGCGCCCTCGAGGGCGCGAAGTTATTCGCGCTTCGCCGTGCGGCTCCGATGCCTCCTCGATCCTCCCCTTCTCCCCTCGGGAGGCGCCGCGAGAGCGCGAAGGCGTTCGCACTCCGCGCCCCGCGCAGCGCGGAGCGCGAAGTTGGGAGCCCCTGGGATAGCTCACGCCACCACCTGCGGCATCGCTGCCGCAGCGAAGCGTCCGGCCGTGAACGCTGCACGCACCGAGCGGGAGCCCCGCCCGCTCGCGGGGGAGGCGGCGGCCGCCGGCGCC